TGTCATACCAGGCAGAGAAGGAGGGGGAGGAACTGCTGCCACACGAGACCACGTGCACATTTGTATCAGAGGTGGAGGAGATGGCTGTTGTGGCAACATGTCTGATGTTCTAGGGAGGGGAGGGGAAGGGGGAGGGGGAGGCACTGGAGCAGGAGTAGCTGAAGCTGCATTCAGTTCTGGCAAAGCTGAGCAGAGCGGAAAGAGGGAGGATGCAGACTTCTTAGGCACGCTGAATGGCTCTGCATTAAGTGGGGTGTTGGAAGAGCAGGTTCTTGAGGAAGAGCTCTGGGTGGTGTCTGGGCATTGCCCCAAATCTTCATTGGTCTGAGTGCTTTCGTTCACCTTGTTGGCTGCTCTTGTGGAATATGAATTTCTTTTCTTAGGGTGTTTCTTGATGGATAACAATCTCTCCATGACTTCTTCCACGCTGTTATCTTGTACTGCAAAACATTAGACAGAATAGAGCAAGGCAAACTAAAATCCAATTCAAATTCTCTTTTCATGTAAACGCTATAACGAAGGCTTGCAAGATGATACCTTTTGCAAGGGTTGGCTAAGGCAAATTTTTTTAATAGTAATTTTTATTAAGATTACAACTACAACAATAAAAGCTAATACAAACTAAAAGAAAAAGAAAAGAAAAAAAAGAAAAAATAGAAGGTGCAGAAAAGAAAGAGAAAAAGAGAAAGAGAAAAGAAAGAAAAACCTATTATTTGAACAATGGACCCAGAAGTTAAGTAGTGTAAAACTTGTCGATCCAAAGGTTCCTAATAGCTGAAAAGCAGTTTAAAAAAGCTATTTAAACCATACAAGTAAGCAAATTAGTTTGGTTCAAACTCCACTGTGTGCCAGACCTAACAAGGTGGATCTTACAGCCCTCCTCCCAAAACTAGGCAACCATGGAGCCAAGCAGACCTCTTCTGAGAGAGAATCTCAACTGGGGAGCAATGCAGAAAAAAACTGCACCGTGTCTCCACCAATCTTTTATCTCTTGGTGGTGGGACATATGGCTGGACTTCTGAAGAACACTGATCACAGGCAAATGTGGAGATATCTTGGCCTGAAACTGCTCAAGCTGTTATAGGTAAGTTTCAGCAAGCTGAGCTGCACCTGGAAATAGCTTGGAAGCCAATGCAATTAATGTAAGAATGGTATTATATAGCTATTATATTTTATATCACATGTAGTTTCAAAACACTCCTCACGGATAGCATCATGTTGAGCAGGGTTTCGCAATCTCAGCCCACTTGCTGGCTGGGGAATTCTGGGAGTTGAAGTACACACATCTCAAATTTGCTAAGGTTGAGAAATACTGATTGCAGAAATCAAAATGTTGAGATTCCAGCAACTAATCTATTTTTCATTTAGAATCAATATATCCCCACATACATTATGGGAGAGACTTCGTGATTTTCTTTCTAATAGCCTTCATACAAGGAGACAAGGAGATAGATTTCTTCAGTGATAATGGAGAAGATTACAGATGGCCTCCAGCACCTTTATCAATATGGGAACTGATTCTTAACATGCTTTAGGGAAGCTTATATATTATGCCCAAATTCCTGTTCTCTTCATGTGCTTGTGTCTGAAGTATATTGATCTCTGAACTTTTTACCTTCTGTCTGAAGTTTATATCCCTTCCTTGCTGCTTTTTCTCTACTTCATACTGAAATGTAGTATCAGTTGGTAACCCTGTAACTATACTTGTCATAATTAAAGACTGCTATGATGTATTTCATATTGTTATATCTTTGATTAAAAGTAGAACTGCTATACTGACATTTAAAAGTTCATTTTGATTTCTTGAAAAAACTTTTTGTTAGGAGAGTTGAGAGGTGGAAAGGCTTTCACAGACTTCTGCCTTACATTATGTGTAAAGTACTGGAAGATGCAACATTTTCTCTGCTGCTCATGATGATCTCACAGTTGGAAAGCTGACCTGAAGGAACCAATCCTAAGTGAAGATGAGCTAAGAAGGCCCAATTGGAAATGCCAAAGTGCTAAAAGCAGAGATGGACTGGAGCCAATGAAAGTCCAGGGGATGAGAATCTTGGAAGCAATGAGAAAAAAAATTGCCTGTCAGGCAGAGGGATTTTTTAAAAAATCATCTATTTTCTGGACCCATGTTTAGCCCTCTCAGTTGGACTTCACCTTTCCTTCATTTTCCAGCTAACACTGAAATCTAGTCCCTTTGCATCCTTCCAGCCCAGGCTTCAAAAACCCTGGAAACAGAGACCTGATTGGTCATCACATTCCCCATCAGCATTTCGATATATTCTTATTCTTGTATATTCTTATTTCTGTTTCTCATGCTTACTATGCAATTTTACAAGAACACTTAAGAAATTTCTTAAGTAAGATACCTAAATGTGTTCCTTGCTTGTTTTGCCATTTGACTGCATCAATGTATTTATAAGGAAGACGTTTTTACTGCTGTCTGAAGAGAGGCTTGCATTAATGATTATGCTGAGGGAGGGGTGATTTAGAGCCCATACAGAGATTTATGGACCAGAGAAACCCATACACAAGATCTGGACCTTAATCAAAAGTTTACAGTGACAATTGAGAATAATAAGTGAATTAGGCTCAACTGGGATTTGCTCTGTGTTCAAGCATTGATTGCAATGATGAAGGAGTAGCTTGTCTGTTCTGGGTGCAGTAATAACCTGAGAGCAAGGGAGATCTGAAGATCTGTCTTTTTAGCAGCAAATTAATTTTGCATAAGCATTATTGACAGTGGGACCATAGTATGAAGTGAGGTTATTAAGGAAGCCTATCGATAAAGGCTTCTCAATGAACTGGAAATCTTTCAGACCTAACTAAAGCAAGGGTCATTGTGGTTAACCAAACCTGGGCAGTACCACTTGTGGACTCAACTGTGACCTGACCTGGAAACATCCCAAGCTGCAGACCAGATCCATTCAGAGCAGACTGAATTTGTCCCTTTAACAGCTAATGGGACCTCTATCTTGCATGGACTGAACCTCAACTTGTTTGCTTGCTATATGCAATCTAGCATTGTGCCCAGTGATAGCTCTCTTAATTAAGAGTCCTTTGTTCTGGATGAAGAATTCTCTGGAGGCAGACTCTCTTTAGAAGGCTACAGGAAACAGGAAAACAGGTGGAAAATATTCACTCATATTCTTTCTGGGCAGAACAATCTCTCACTCACAATTTTCTATCGCCTCCTGTCCTGGAGTGCCAAGACACTGTTTTCTTTATTCTCTTGATCTAGGAAGATGATGTAAATGAAGCAGAAGTCTGTTGCAAACCTGGTGGGTCAGAATCCCAGAGCCAGATTTCTTAAACTAAACATGAACTCTGTATTTTGGCCTGCTTTATTTTTAGGGAACGTGTATTGCATCACAAGACATAGTGTGTTAAAACTTACCGTCATTAGCAAGCAAGATGGCTCTGCTTACTAAGATTTCTAAGGACTCCCAAAGCAATAGGCTGGAGCGATGAGAAGGTTCAAGATGCAAGAGGCTCTGGAGAATGGACAGCAGCTGAATGGAGACTGGGGAGCTGCTCACCTAAAACAGAAACTTTGAAACTATTATCTGCTTTATATATTACTGATGTCATGATAGTGATGCCAACTGTAATATTACAAACTCTGCTATCAAAAATCCAGAGCTGCAATATGAGTCATTATTGAAATTAGAGGCAATGGGCAATCAAGCTTCCCAATTGTGGAAACAGTTTCAGGATGTAAATACAATGAATATGTATGTAAATACAGTGCATATCCTTATTCTAGAGCAGATGACAGTTACAAATAGTACATAAAACTCACCGGGGAAAAATACCACTTTGCATCTATAGTCTAGTGAAATGATGCTCTGCAACTGTGAACGAGTGTTAAGAACCATATTTAAGCAGCAGTTTTGCACAGAGAATTCAATGGATTAGATTCAAGCAAGGCCAATTTTAACAGACTTGTCCCAGATTTCAGATGTTTATTTCCCAAAAGAACCACCCCAAATTTCAACTCAGTCTCTGTTTTAGGCAGTATCTGAAAACAAACTTTATCCACCACTTGTAAAATGAGATAAGATTTGCCTGTCACCTGATACTAGTCTCTGAACTTTCCAAATATATGATAGAATTTATCATAGAAATAAAATCAGCTTCTTTTTCACAATCAATAAAGGCAGGATTCCATTTTCAAGCTGGGAGCCCTGGGCTCAAGGTTTATGCTTTTCAGGAACACTCCCTGCCAAGGGTGACCATGGGGTGGGGGGTGGGGATTGTTTAAAAAGTCAAGATGGCAGCTGTGACTCTAGGATCAAAGCCCTTCCCCTTTTACACGCATCACAGGCACAACACATATAAAATATGGGAGGGGGTTTGTGCAGTTGCAACCATCATCTTGACGTTTTTAAACACTACCCACCCACCCCGGCACAGTCACCCTGCTTCTGCAAATAGGCAAAAGGGAGAGAGCAAGGAGCTGCCACTGAGACCCATACTTTAGGTAAGGAGAAACAGCTAAAGGTATGTACAGCAGGGCTCCTCAACCTTGGCAACTTTAAGATGGGTGGACTTCAACTCCCAGAATTCTTGCTGGCTGGGGGATTTTGGGAGTTGAAGTCCCCCCAACTTTAAGTTGTCAAGGTTGAGGAGCCCTGATGTACAGAATGGAACCATGAGGCTGTGAAATAAAAGCCCATTAAATGTTAGGCTTTAGGGAAGTATCATCTGGTAATATCATATTTGTTATCAATAAAATTTGGTCAGGAAGGAATAGGACCTACTCTGCAACAACATTCATTTTATGCAACACTTCCCACCGAGAAGTCTACACAGCCCCCAAACTGCTCTTTTTCAGCAGAGCTTCTGATACCGGAGAGTGTTGACACTTGCTCCTTGCCTTTGAACTTACCTGTTCCACCTATTTTTGTTTTGGTAAGTTTGCCTTTAATTCAGTTGCTTCTGTTGGTTGGCTATCTATTCTGTCCTTCCTCCTGGAGTTCAAGACACTGTCCGTCATACCACTGAGCCATTCAGTCAATTTCTACAGCTGAAAGTAGATTTGGAACTGGGTGTCCCCAGAGCAAGTGCAAGGTGTTAACTGGTATGCCACACTGTGTCTTTAACTGATTGTGTGGCTTGTTTTAGTTTTATTCCCCAAAATTTGATACATGATATATGTATAGTTTTAAATTAGTATTTAGGATTTAGAATGACCAAAAAAAAAAAATAATAATACAGAAACAAAGAGGAATTATATGTTGCATTAAAAAGAAAATGCTACTCACTTTGTTGAACAGAGAAGAGAAAACCTCTTGATGATTGTTCATATTAATCCCATCACATATTCTCAATAACTCTTCATCATCTTCAGTCTTAGCCTCCTCAAATGTCTCACACTGGATAAGCAGGTCTTCATCTTCTATGTCTCTATATTAAGCCCCACAACAATAACTATCACTCATCCAGATAATAACTTCTATTTTTAATTGAAAAAAAAATCACATCAGTTAATAACCCTACAGCAGAAGTTAATATCCCCAACTTGCATCTGTATATACAATTCATATACTCAGAGAATGTCTATTATTTGAGGGCATAAACACATAAAAGGTATTTGTCAGTTAAATTATAGAGGTGTTTCTATATTCAAATGAACTTTAAAAAAACTCTGAGTTGATGAAATTGCAAGCTAAAGAAATGTGGGGGTTTCTCCCATTAAAATACACCCTAAAACCAAACTTATACATGGGAAAGAATGAATGGTGATGGCTGGCTCATTATCATACTTACAGGCATTTACAATTAACACACACACAGAGATACACAGACACACCATACAGATGTGGCAACTGTCACACTGTAATCTACATCAGCCAGCCTGGGCTGTCTTAGCTTCAGTGGGATAGAGATGATCACTGCAAAATAGCTTGAGGTAGATTTTGGGGAGACCAGTGAGAATTGTCAAATTTTGAGCAAGATGAATGTATAGTTTCATAGATCTCAAGGTGATAGAAAACAATCTAGAAAAAGTATATCTAGATTTTTTTTATTTTGTGAAGGGTAAAGGAAGATGATGGTGAAGATAAAAGAAACAGCAGTTATTACTCAATCTGATGGATAGAAACTTGCTGAACCAAAACAGATGATCAATAAAACCTAACTATTCTGAAAGAAATACTATTGTGGTCAACTGTATTTAAGCTCATATCTGTTTCCTTCTATGGTTCCTCTTGATACATAATTATATGATTAAAAGTTTATGGAACTAGAAACTGGAGCTACAACAGTGGACTCAAATAATTGTTCTGATAAGGAAATGGCGCTCCCTGAATGATGTGCTTGTAAAAGAATTATACTATTTAAAATATAATATAATTATATATTCAAAAACATAATAAATCACTTACCGCAGTTTGGTTAAAATATCCAACAACTGGAGACCTGGTAATAGAGAAGAGGAAAAAAACCCATTGATATATAGTCTAATGAAAATAAACTATTTTAGCATCAGTAACAGTAACAAATATGCAGCACAGGAAATAACTAAATGGGCTACCAATTTAGGTAAGGGAATCCTTTTGTGAAATAGATGTAGAACTGAAAATTGCTAAATGATACACAAAATGGGATTGCTAATTAAAAATTCATATACAGTTTAGCAAGAAGGATCTGTTTTCCTGAAAACCATTTTTTTCCCCCTTTGGGCTTAGGCAAATTGAGGGACGATAAGGCTGTCAGGTCACGATGCTTAGATGGTACCACTGGAGCCTTGCTGATAAGCCAGGGAATCTTCTGACAAAGCTAATTTCATATGGAACATCTGAACTGAAGACCATTCTTACCAATGAACTCATTCCGGAGCTGCATCCTCCCTCTCAGTTCCTCTGTTCCCAATATAACTGCATTGATGACACTCAAGAGTGTTATCATGTAGGGCACATTGTCTGTGACCGAGAGCTCATTCATAATGATGCTGAACCGGTACTGTTGGTTTTTCACAGTCTGTGGCAAAGGAGACAAATCAAAGATGTGTTGGATTGAATGCTAGATTTCAAAACCAAGTTTGCTCAGCCTACTGTTGTCACCTCAGTTTAGCAATGATCTTCAGAGTTTTAAGTAGAAAACTCAGAAATCTGAATATGCCAGAAATTCAACTTGGGAATTTTCACAAGCTGAATTGTGGTCCCTCCCTGAAATAAGAAGCCCCTCAATTCCATTTCATGGGAAAAGGTAAGATGAAAAAAAAATGTTTCTATCACAAAACTTTTACTTCTCTTAAGTACAGTTATCTTTCTCCAGTGGTGTAGATGTGGTTGAACTTTAATTTCCAGCAGTCACCATCGACCATGCAGGCTGGAGTGGCTGAGAAGTGTAGTTAAGCAACGTTTGAAGAGCCAAAGATTTTCTTCCCCTGTGATGGCAATGCCTTTAGTTATGAGAAAGTGGGGCACTGAAATGGGCTAGCATTTAATAGATTAAAAACAGAAGCTACTTATTGACACAATGCATTATGCACCTATGGAATTCCTTACCACATGATGTGTTAATAGGAGCCACTGACTTGGGTATAGCCAACATAGGCAGCAGAGACCATAGGAAAGAAATGGGGAAGTATATTTGAGTTCCTTGTCAGAGGGCAGGAGTTTGTTTATATGTGCGTGCTAAACAGAACCTAAAACAGAGGTCAATAATCTTTTTGGACTACTGGGCCTATTCAGCATTTTAAGGACTCCCCCTCCCATTTCATTGTGTCTTTTTTTAGGGCGGGGGGTAGATAGGTACACTTCCAAACAAAACTCTAGTCTGTAGACAGGCATAATTTTTCCTTTCCAAGAACGTCTATGAGGTCCAGAAGCAGTTTACAGTCATTGTAGGGGCAGGGAAAGAATGAAGCTGGAGAATGACATTTTGCTTTGCAGCATGTCAGTTTTTCATTAATTTATATTTTAATAACCTCAAAGGAATTAAAAAGTGATGCAGGTAGCCTGGTGGATGCCAAGGAAGATTCCTGTTGCCCTTAAATACCAGGTTGCCTACTTCTGCCCTGCAGGTTCAGAAGAGGCTTACTGATTTCAGCCCCTACTTGTGACTTTCTGATTAAGGACTAACAAGATGGACTGTTGGTTTGATTCTGAAGAGTTATATTGATTGATGCACATTATGGTATTGGTTATACCAGGGTTTCTCAATCTTAACAACCTTAAGATGGCTGGAGAATTCTGGAGGTTGAAGTCCACACATCTTAAAATTGCCACGGTTGAGAAACTCTGGGTTATATATTTGATTTTCTACTTGCCTTGTAGTGGTCTAGAGCATCCAGAGCCAGAGCATGTCCATCAAATGAATAAATGCAGAGAGCAGCCAGGAGTTCAAACACTTGCTTTTTGACCATGATATTTGAAGTGTCCAGTGCTTCAAAGACAAAGGAGGACGATTATATTCCAGAGCCATATTATATATTTTGCAGATGATGTAGCTTGAAAAAGACATTTTCTATTCAACTCTAGAGTAAATGTAGGGGACTCAATCTAGATTGAGACTCTAATATGGAAGGAGAAGGGTCTTAATTCTTTGTTCCCTGCCCCAGTACAAATACAATTCATTCTAATGGGACTCCTTCCTCCAACATAGGATTGCAGCTCTCCAGTTTACAAGCTAATTCAGTACACTATACTGTACTGAGATCCTATACTCCAATTTCCTGTATTTCTTTTTCTCCTCCTCCTCTGCTATGTAAGATAGTGTGCAAGGTATTTTCTGTGGCAGATCTCTTTGTACACATCCCTTTGTAGTTTACCTAACTATCCAGTTTTATTGATCTGAAAAAGGCCAGGGGAGAGTTCATTTATTTTTATGAGTTAAATTCTGCTTTTCTGTCCATAGGTACTCATCTTATTTTCCCTGGCATGTAATTGAAGAGTGGGAGGAGAGAAAGGCTGCAGACCACTGGAGAGATGATTGCACAACACAAGACAGGACATTCTTACACACCCTTCAGCCATTTCATACTTAAAGCCTTTCCCCACTGCTAAGCTGAAGAGCTATTATCCATCGATTCTTGAGTCAGCAGAAAACTACACTGGCATGAAATTCTCTGTCCCCACACCCACCTCTACTGCCTCTGTTTCAGCACACAGCACTCACCTGACTTCCCTGCAAGGTAATGGATGACAAAGCCTAACACATTTTTCACATCTCATGGTTGCTAGTGTATTCAGTTGCCCTGTTAACCTCTGTGCTTCCTAGTAATTCCTGTTCAGCTCTAAAATGCTGTAATAATGAGCCAAAACCATGAAATCATGAAAAAACACAGACTGCCCCCCGAGAGAGAGAGAGAGAGAGAGAGAGGGAGGGAGAGAGG